GGGACCGAAGCACGCGATTGAGCAGGCCTGTTGTGCATCACACTTGATCCGCTTCGTAAATACGTGTGCGAAATTCACTGTGTGTGAGGAAATGTTGTCGAAGTGCTTTAATCCGTGTATTAACTTGGCTAATTTTGATTTTACCTGTTTTTTGCGTAGTGGCAAGGCCGGTGCCAGCTCTTAGGCGCTGTAAGGGCTGTGTTAGGCGACCTGAGAGGAAAACATAGACCTCTAGGGCGAGCTTAGTGCATAGTCAATTGGGTTTTTGGAACTGTGAATGTTGTCTTCATGTGGATAAATGCTTGAAGCGTTTCTGTTTTCCTGTTTTTAGGGCTAATGTTAAACTTGATGTGATGAGAGGATGATATTGCAATTTTTGGTTACTATTTGTATGTGTGCATATGTTTGTGGATTAATATAGTTTTCGGCTGTACATTTAGGTTTTTAGGGCTAATGTTAAACATGATGTGATGTGACGTGAGGATGATGTAGCAATTTTGGATTACTATGTGTATGTGTGTGTATGTTTGTGGATTAATATAGTTTTCGGCCTGTAGGTTTAGGTTTTTAGGGCTAATGTTAAAGTTGATGTGATGTGATGTGAGGATGATGTTGCAGTTTTGTGTGTATGTTTGTGGCTTAATATAGTTTCCGGCCGGTACATTTAGAAGAGTGTTCAATTGTTATGCTTGCATGAGCTTATTCTTAGTAGTTATTGTGTGGTACTGAACTGATGCCTACCAAAGAAAGCTTCTTGACAGTTGACACTATAATTTTGGATGTGTTTGATAGAATGATTGTTTGGTCGAGCGTTTCCCCTCTTTTTGTTCTCTGCATATTATGTTTGTAGTTGGAGTTGACATTATTTTAATTGCTCTTGCAGTTTTTTCCTGATAATTTGAGAGATGTATGATAATCTTGGACCACAGCCTGGGTTTCCTAGGCCACCACCCAATGCCCAGGCAAATCCTTTTGACAGTTCGTTTTACGGTGCGAGTTCTGGATTCATTAGAAGTGGGCTCGGTGCTTATGGAGAGAGAATCTTAGGATCCAGCTCCGAGTATGTACAAAGCAATGTAAGTGGGCCAGGAGGCCTGTGATGAAATTTATGTGTATATTTAAGGGGTAAAAAAGAGATTAGCTTCTTTAGTTAATGGCTGTCAATTATGAAGATTGTTTAAAAACTTCTTTTCTTATTTATTTTTCTTTTTCTGAAAACTCTGATGAAACAGATCAGCCGGTATTTTTCTGATCCTCAATACTATTTCCAAGTTAATGACCATTATGTGAAGAATAAGTTGAAGGTTGTTCTCTTCCCATTCCTCCACAGGGTAAGATTTCGGCTCTCTGATAGTATTTATCATTAACTCGATTTATTGTAATGCTATCTCATTGAAGGTGTTAGTGTTCATATTACTCGATTTGTATCAGGGCCATTGGACAAGAATCTCAGAACCAGTCGGTGGCAGGCTCTCCTACAAACCTCCTATTTACGACATTAATGCACCGGACCTGTACATACCATTCATGGCTTTCGGTACTTATGTGGTTCTGGCTGGCTTGTCATTGGGTCTTCATGGAAAGTGAGATCACTTTTTTTTTCCTCTTCAATTCATTTTTGCTTCTTGCCTCGGCTTTTCGTATATTAGTCTGAATTGGAGAATTGAGTTGTTATCATCTTGGCAGAACAAATTCTTTATCTAGTTGGTCATATTAAAATATCAATGTTCTATTCCTTTCTTCTCTGCATGGGTATATTTATTTAATTTATTTTCTCCTATCACTATTAAGTAAAACTTATCTTGACATCTGTCTCACATTATGCATCCCCCCGATTTTCTCTCTTTCTTTTTTCCCCTGTAGTTGAATGTGGCTGAATTCAAACTTGTATAGAGAACACACATACACACACACTGCATATCAACTTCAAATGATTTAAGAACTAATGAAGCTGCCAAAAGAAACAGATTTAACTGTATATGTAGGGTTGTAAACAAATCAAATATTTTTGATTCGATTCGTGATTCGAATTCGATATTCGTGATTCGAATTCGAAATATTCGAATTCGAATTCGAATTCGAATGATGTTTTA